GATAAAAAGAGGGGGGGGGGGGGGGGGTTATGTACCATGTATGATGTTGTAATTACGTATCTGCCACAGGCAGGAGAGGACAGAGACGGAGGAGAACACAGACGTCAGTCTTCTGGAGTGGAGACTACTTCTCCACATCTTCAAGTATCAGCGGCCCATTCTCAAACACCATCTTCTTGCACTGCTCCAACCAAAAGTAGACAACATATCAAAACTCTAAGACTAACGTATATGTCAGATATTTTGCTCTTCTTTTTCTTTTTTAGTTTGAATTTCTAGTTCTCCTGGTAATTGTTCAGGGGCTTGTATTCCTTCAACAGTAATTAGAGTAATCGGTTCATCTCTCTTTAGCTGCAAAAACAAAACCCAAGTCTCTTGTATTTCTTCTCTACTCTGCATCACTTGCAAAGTCCTTTTGGGGAAAAAAATGGTTCAATTAATCAACTATTCACCGCCCAGAAACTTAGCTGCAAGGGTAATAAACGACCGAGTTTGCCTGAATGAGCAGAGACAGGAGTTCATCAGCAACCCGACAATAATAGGATAAGAGGAGGCCAGGGTGAGCATTGATATCCTAAAACTAGCAGGTAGAATGATCTTTCTTATCATAATGGTAAAGAACCATTTCAAAATCGGGCATAGTTCGGACGCTACCGAAAAGCTCCAAGAGGCATCCCAATAGGTAGAACTAGAAACTACGAGAAGCCTGATGAGATCTTAAAAGGCTTCACTAAAACTAAAGCATCAACCTACAACTCCTGAGATGAGACAGAGGTGGGGGTCCAGATTCTTTTCGTCAATAAGAATTTATCCGATAAAGGCTTTTGAATGTCAGAAGGTGTTACCTTCATCTGAGGATATTTCAGTTTGGCAACAACTTCCGAAACAGTATGCACGGCAGTCTCCTTCAAAAAAAATCTTCTGAAGCAAAGGCAGCCACTGCTTTCTACAGATTTAGTCAGGCTGGATTTGCGAGAGCTTTATGAAGAAATGTTCAGCGTAAGCACCAGCCACTGCATCAAGCATAAAACTTGGGGGGTTAACATACATCTGGAACAAAAGAAGTAAACCGATATCGTAAAAGCGAAGACCTCCGGATCAACGAGCATGTGTGAAGGGCTTCAATGATTGAAGCCTCTTCAAGGTATTCAGATGCTAGAGTACAAACGTGTCGCACATACCACATACCTTGTCCTAACGAGGTGCTCCTGAAGAATCAGCAAAGAAATGAAATCACATTCAGGTATCATAAACGTATGATTGATGGATTTCTTCAATACCACGTGGGAACGGTCTCTCGTAGTGAAAGGATGACCCATAGCAGACATTCCAAGTGAAATGCCTAAAAATAACCCAGTTCCCAACAGGATTCATTAAAATCAGGATCAAAGAATATTAAAGACTGAACAGAGAGGAGGTGATCTATGTCAGGAATGTAAATTACTTATAACACATGTTTTTGTGGATTAGTTCAGCAGAAAGGGCCATAGGATAACTCGAGCAAACATTTGTCTAGCTCTAGCATCACAAACCCAGGTCAGCCCCAACACCAACTCTCATGCCTGGGATTATATCCATTTAAATTCAATAATCAAAACATCTGGACCTCACTCGCTTGATCACCTTACGGATATCACACATTTCATAGCAATTTACCTGCAGCGAACCCAAATTCATCTCTTTGTAACACGGAATCACACACACACACGAAAGATTTTAGGGTTCTTCGCAATCCTCAACACCTTAGGTTTTCCACAGACATCGTCCAAATTCAACCACCGGAAAATAAAATAAAAACATCATAACAATCTACAGAAAATCGGTAACACCATCAGAAGTTCCCCAAGTACAAAATAAATAAATAAATAGGAATGAAGGTTACCCAGAATTCTGCAGGAATTCATCCTGATCAAGAACCCTAGAGACACGACAAGGGACAGAATCCGAACTAGTCAACAACCAAACAGAAGATCGCGAGATGAACACGGGTAACCCTTCTCTCGATGGTCGCCCTATTTGAGCCGATATTTTTTGAAATATATATAGAGAGAAGCCGTATATAATATAATATAATTTCGGGGGGTCGGGGGGGGGGACAAAATGAGAACCCAGAAATCAATAACGGATACATAAAAGCGGGAAGAACAAAAAGCGATTGGACCGACCGACACCATCGGGTATATACAGGAATACGATGTGAGACGCATAGGGTGGCCCATTAATGTCTTTAGAGCCCATCATCATTTGAGTCTCTTTTTTGTTTTGCTTTCCTTTCTGGGTCACGTGGGCCACCCTTATTTAATGTAGATACATCATACATGTTTTTTTTTATAAAACATCATCATCATACATCATACATGTTTCGTCCTCTCCCAGTTACGAAATAATTCCAAAAAAATAAAATCAATAGATAAACCGTAGATAATGCACACATATACATGTATGTGTTATTGCCATTGTTTAATCGAGGAATACGATGGATTGTTTGGTAAATGGCCTTGTCGGTTCAGGTTATTAAATGTTTACAGCATTAATATCAATATATTATCATGTACGTAGTTTGAAAATTAACTCCTACTACTAGCCGTTTAAATAAATCCATTACGTGGTATATATACGTGTAATTGCTATTGCAATTGGTAATTAACTTGTTATCAAAACTTCGAAAAGCATGACATGTTTTTTTTCCTAGAAATAAAATATATATATATATATATATAATATACATGTAACGTCAAATGTTTTGTTATCATCTAGAAGTTCGGTGTCTAAGCGAGATCAATGATGACAATGTGTGTTTTTGTGGATTGTATTTCACAAATTAAGAAATCGAGGATGGTTATAAAATCGTATGTGACACAGAGTATCGTCGGTGGTAGGATGACTAAGTACCATTTAATAAAGAGAAAGCAACTGCATAACGAGTCTCCAACTACCCAAAACCCTCATTCATATGATACCGTAAAACAACGAATGACGTAACTACACCGACACCATTCTTATATATAAATATCGGTAACATGGAATAGGATATCCCTCGATGAAGAGAGAGGACAAGTTGTTGAGGAGGCCGCCAATGTCGGGGAAGGAGGATGGATCCCCTTCGTTTAGGGCATTGCACTACGGAGGAGGTGTTGGTGGTTCTGTGCCGTTCGAGTGGGAGTCGCAGCCAGGGACTCCCAAACACGCCCTTAGGCACCACGAGGACGCTCGTCCGATCCAACCTCTCACTCCTCCTCCTTCTCACTACCAGTGTCATCGACGTCTACCCACCAAGACCTCCCCAGGTTCCAGACTTTTGGATCTTGCCGTGTTCCCGAGGCTCCGGTCGTGGTCGTGGTCGTGGTCGGCCGACAAGGTCAAGGATGTGGTCCCGTTGACTCCGTCGTCGTCCATGGCCCTCATTCCTCACGACTATGATATGTCCAGGTATCATCAGACGACAAGAAGGAGGAGGAGGAGGATGAAGATATTTTACTCGACGCCGTCCATCGACTACGCTCCTGACCATGGGCGGATCCAGCTCTTTAGCAGTGGGGTCACAGGCCCCCACCCTTTTTTTTAAAACAAAATATTTTCTTTACAAAATTTATAAAATTTTACACAAATTATTATATGCCCCCATAAAATAATTAAAATTACTATTATGAAATTAACTTTGCCCCCAATCATAAATCTTTCTGAGTCCGCTACTGCTCCTGACGATGATACAGCCTCCGCTTCCGCCTTGTGCTTCCGACTTTCCAGATGTCACGTCTGGTAATCCTAACAGAGTACGCGGACTATACGTTCGATCAACGCACAGTGGACGTTTGGTATTATTGTCGTGGTTTCCTTAACGGATCACATAATTAATTAATTATGCACCTTGTTTTCTGCACGTATTTAATACTGAGTTTAAATATATTCCAATCTACCGGTGGTTTCTTGTATACACTGTTAAAGTGGCATTGACGTGACAGCACATTGGGTTTGCAATGTTATTATTTTGTAAATTAGTTTTTTTTTTAATAATATGGAAGTTCACCGGGGGTTTGGTCCAATTACATCTCCCAGAGGATTGGAGCAGCCCATGTGAAAACTCCTCTCCAACCAAGAATCGAACCGCCAAACTCTGAGTGCTTTGCACCCAGGTACTAACCACTCGGCCACAAACTGTTGGATTATTTTATAAATTAGTTGGATTGAACATATATATATATATATATATATATAATCGTGGTTCAGTTGAAATCTGCTGTCTTCTAAGCAAAGAAAAAACAAATAAAAAGAGGTGGGTGGGTGTTATATACGCTATATATGCGACTACACACGCAATAACACCCTGTTTCCCTTTATGCTATCTGATGGCCAAACGTGATAAACAAACAAAAAGGAATTCCGAAACCCGTATATATATATACACATGCATGTCATGCATGTAAATTAATTAGTTTTACGCATGGAGGGGGTGAAAAGAAGAGCAAAGATAGTCCAGACACAAACCTGGGACGTGTCGGCAGCGATTACTGCGGGTGGAGATATATAGATATTCCGTCTCGGTCGTTATTCTAACAAAGTGTTGGTCAAATATTTGCATTTTTAATGCGCAAAATAAAATCCGTGTATGGTTGCTGATCAATTCCGATGAGTTTGATGTTTGTTCCTCGGATTCATTCGCCGATGCAATATTGCATGCTGGGGCCTTTGTGGCAGTGTGGAACGTATACCATTGCGATTCTTATCATCAAAGTTGAAAACTGGTGTAGTTCGTACGGCGTCTGTATAAACAATGTTTTTATTGGGCTAATAAATGTGGGTTATAAAATTAATTAGAGCCTGCCATTGGCCTGCCTAAAAGATAAGATAAGATTCCATTGTTTCTTTTTTCCCTTTGTAACTTAGCTTGCCTTGTATGTCTCGTACAAGTTGACCGATTATCCAGTGCAAATTTTAATCGTGCACATTCTATAAATAACCGTAACCCTCTATAAAAGTCTATAATATAAAATAAATACTGGGCGTATTGTGAAACTTGGAGTCTGGAAATAATATATGAAAAAGGAAAAAGTTTTCTTCATTCGACCGTGAGCTTCGAAGGTACTTATACATTAACGAATCTCGTTCTCTTAATTTGCTAGATTCCCGTTAACTACCACTTCTTTCTTTTTGTGTGTGTGTGAAACCGAAGAAGCCCGTCTTATTATTGGAATGGAGATAGATGGTTGAGTTCACAGGTGTACTGTATATTTATGTCGTGTTTATCTCTTTTGGGGGTGGATGCGTTCGATAAGCAGTCCGATTAAAGAGAAACTATATCTGTGTGGCCAATAATATATATAGATAGATGCCTATTGGAGAGTGACCTAATTAAACAAGAATAAAGCGAGTCCAAAACGAAACATGGGAATCCGACACGGCAATCATACTTAGGTAAAGCTCTCAAAGTTTGGGACTTTCACAAGTTAATACTGAAACCGATACATGCAAGGAACCCAAGCAGTAACAGACAAGCTTAATTAAACTTTGATTTGTGGTATATAATAAAATAAACGGACCAATAAAGTCGATCTGTATCTAATATGCCATTGAATCACGTCCACATTCATTCTGCCTTGCCAACTTCTATCGAGGGAAGCAATGTGCATCCTGATACAATTGGAGATAAGCTTATCTCATACCACACACATCTACATATATGAGTCCCATCCCCTATTTACATTATTTTTATTATATGTTTTTTTAAGGTATTCTAACTACGTCATCATTCATTATTGATGGCATACATCAACTACGTTTCGTGTATATATATATATTATATCTCCGATATGGACAAATTAATTGTTGATCAGAACCACGATCGTTTTTTTTTTGAACTAGAAGAAGTGAAATGAACGTAGAAAAGCAGTTTACGTGACGTCTATAAATATTGGCCACCCGTGTGTTAGGTGTCTTCACAAAGCGCTTCCCTTGTAAATAATTTGGAGATCGCCGGCGACGAGTGATACTGTCGGCGGCCAAAATGAGGAGGTTCACGGCCGCCATGGCTCTAACGCGTAACAAAATCCGCCGCAGCCGTGGATTCTCCTTGATGACTGACCAACAGGAAACGGAGACCTTTCCTAAAATGCCGGCGTTCGATTACAATCCACCGGCGTACGACGGCCCTTCAGCCGCTGACATACTCTCGAAGCGGCGTCAATTCCTCAGCCCCGCCTTGTTCCACTTCTACGATTCTCCTGTAAGCCCCGCCTCTGATCTCATCTCCTAAAACCATTCAGCAATTCCAGCTTTCGATTTTTGAATTTTTTTACTTCATTGGAAAAAAATACACTGTGGTGTGTGTGTGTGTGTATAGATGGGTATTAACGAAACTACTAATTCGGATAAAAAGTTATATATGATGGATCACAGGATGTGCAGAGTGGTCCGATAATCATGCAAATTCGTAGGTTTGAGGAATTCTGTGGTAATGATACAGATAAACGTGGTGGAAGGGAAGATGCAGTACGTGTTCGACGAATCAGGGCGGAGGTATCTGGACGCGTTCGGGGGAATAGCGACGGTGTCATGCGGACATTGCCACCCGGAGGTGGTGGATGCAATCACCAAACAGCTCAACCGAATCCAACACTCCACCGTCCTCTACCTCAACCACTCCATTTCCGATTTCGCAGAGGCCCTCGCCTCCAAGCTCCCCGGACACCTCAAGGTCCTTTTTTAAAAAAAGAAATTAGGATCCATGGCTTTGAATTGACTGTACTCAGACACGCATCCAAACTGGACAAGTGCAGGTGGTGTATTTTACGAATTCTGGGACGGAAGCGAACGAGTTGGCGATGATGATGGCGAGGCTGTACACTGGCTCCCACGACATCGTTTCGCTCAGGAACTCATACCACGGCAACGCGGCTGCTACCATGGGCGCCACCTCTCAGTCCAACTGGAAGTTCAACGTCGTCCAGGTTTATATACTTGATTTCGTTTTCAACTTTGATGTAAGAAGAACAAGACATGCGTCTAGTGATGTAATGCATGGAAACTGCAGAGTGGAGTTCATCACGCCGTGAATCCGGACCCCTACAGAGGAGTGTTCGGTTCAGAAGCGGAAAAGTACGCCAAAGACGTCCACGATCTCATCCAGTTCGGGACTTCAGGCCACGTCGCCGCTTTCATCGCCGAGTCCATCCAGGCAAATAAATACCCATCATCACTCTATATCTGCGGCCATATGTGTGTGTATATAGATATGTATATGAATGTGTGATGAAACTTGACAAGTGTGTAGGGAGTGGGGGGGATAGTGGAGTTGGCAGGCGGCTACTTAGCAGAGGTGTACGACATTGTAAGAAAAGCGGGGGGACTATGCATAGCTGACGAAGTCCAGGCAGGCTTCGCTCGCACCGGCTCCCATTTCTGGGGCTTCCAGTCCCACGGCGTTGTCCCTGACATCGTCACCATGGCCAAGGTTCCTGTTTTTTTTTTTTTTAAGAAATATAACAATGGATCATGTTATACATATGTATATGTATATGAATGGATGGTGTGGCAGGGGATAGGGAACGGAATCCCACTGGGAGCAGTGGTGACAACGCCGGAGATAGCTCAAGTTTTGAGTCGGCGCTGTTACTTCAACACCTTCGGTGGGAACCCTCTGTGCACCGCAGCTGGCCATGCCGTCCTCCGTGTCATCGACAAGCACAAGCTCCAGCACAATGCCTTCCTCGTCGGCTCCCATCTCAAACAACGTCTTACCCTTCTCCAACATAAACACGATTGTATGTACATGCGGATCAGTTTGACATGATTAAACAAACAACGTACTGCGATGATCATGTTTATGATGCGTGAAAATGCGCAGTGATAGGGGACGTGAGGGGAAGGGGCCTCATGCTGGGGGTGGAATTCGTGACGGACCGCCATTCAAAGACGCCTGCCAAAGCCCAAGCCCTTCACTTGATGGGTCGGATGAAAGGTGGGATCGGTATACACACACACAAATGTTTCTATGTATGTTCATTGATTCATGTGAATAGTTCGGTTCCAGAGATGGGAGTGCTGGTGGGTAAAGGCGGATTCTACGGGAACGTGTTCAGAATCACCCCTCCTCTCTGCTTCACCATGGCTGATGCCGGTTCGTCTCATTTTTTCCTTTCCTTTTCTTTTTTTTGGCATTCAAATTACTCAAATCTGATATTAATACACGTTTTGTTATGTATGTAGATTTCGTGGTGGACGTGATGGATTACGCCTTGTCCAAGATGTGAACTTACACGACCAACAACCCTTCCTTCCGGAATTCGGAGTTTGTATAATATTTGCCAAATTCAATTATAAAATTAACTCTACGTGCAATGTGAACTTGGTTTGCATGGTTTAATATCCTGTGATGGCAAATGTGACTAGAAAATCCAAATTTAAATATATAAATATCCGATTAATGGAAAGCAAGATATAGTAATGACGAACACACACGTAAGCAACACACAGAGGCGGAGAGGCATTGGTGGTGGTGGTGGTGGATGAAAAAAGAGGAAGAAAGGGAGTCAACGTTGGGGCATAAAAAGGGCGTAGCGGAGGCGGTGGATCGCCGGAAATATGACGTCATCTCCGAAGCTCCTCCGATACACACACCATGTCAACCATCCAAACTCTTCGGGGATTTCGATTGGTGTCTAAAACAGAGAGGCTGAGAGCAAATGAATGAATGACACACAACCGGTTCAGCTATACCCCGGTTCTTCGAGGGTAGTATGGTAATCACGACACGATGGGGCCCAACTTCTTCCTTTAAGTGTCGACATTTTCATGACCACAAGGCCATATAATTCCATGGGCCGGAGCCCATAGTGAAGCCTGAAATTGCTGTTTCTGTTATGAATCCTTTGAATTACCTCATAAATATAAAATTCATTTCATTTTACATTACCATATACAAAACATATATATATATTTTTTAAAAATATTAGTACAAAATATTCCTCAATTGAGTGTGTTCATTTATCACCAATTGTATAATGGATAGCGCCAAATGCGTATATCATGTTCTAAAAATGGGAAATATAATCTCTCCCGATTACGTAATGGAATTGGTAAATCTGAATAAAAAGGTACAATTTATAAGAAATTCGACGCTGAATTTTCTGGTTTCCTCCCAGAGTTTGAAGAAATTATATGTTTTCTTATGCGACCATTCTGTTAATTATGTTCTAAATTTCGTCGTAGCTGATCCAATTCTTAAAAAAGGGAAGGGGAAGAAGCACAACGCAAACGCAAACGCATTGATTGAAGACCCTCTCTCTCTCTCGACAATTTCCGCATCCCGACGGTCTCCGTCCTATCTTTGTGCCGCCACCGCCACTGTTCCACCTCCACCGTAACCGCTGCCTTCTTCTCCATCCCTTGCCCCGCCGGAGTCCCTAGGGTTTCCGCTTCTCTGTCCATCCACGGTTCGTCGAGCTGGATCCTCTGCTCTTCCTCCGCTCAATTTCGTTGCGCCGCTGGTGCAGCGGCTTCGTTGATTGATCTTGCTTTCTTTCCGTTTCCGTTTCTCATCCAGTCCGAACAAAAAACTAGGGCCTTGGATTTGATTTCTGGGATTTCGGGGTGTTTTTCTCTTTCCCATTTGGATGGCATTAGGGGACTTGATGGTATCTCGGTTATCTCAATCTTCGGTCTCCGTTGTCACCAACTACGATGATGACTGCGACTCCTCTGCCGCTTCCAGTCACCACGATGGCGATTCGTCCATCGCCTCGCGTAGGAGGGATTCCGAGGCCGCGAGCAGCAGCTACGGAAATGCTACTACGGCCTACGCCACCACCACCATGGCCTACTTGCCTCAAACTGTCGTGCTTTGCGAGCTCAGACATGACGCGTTCGAGGCGTCTGCGCCCTTGGGACCTTCCGAGAGCGGTCTAGTCTCGAAATGGAGGCTTAAAGAACGTGTAAGTATTCGGCTTCCTGGAGAGTATAATTGTGTTAAATCTCTCTCTTGTTGTTTCTAACATCCTTATTTTAGGGTGCTCTTGTGTTTCGATACGTTTTGGTTCTATCACCAATGTTTCCCTTGTCACAGAGGATGGATAGGTACCTAGAACGATAACATTGTCTATGTAGACCGTAGAATTCACCAGGCAGGCTGCTTTAGTGCCCTATTAGGTGGTGTTGTATGATTTAGAATGTTTATCTTAAGAAGGTTACGCTAATGTTTTAGTTCAAAGACATGTCAGTGATGAAGGTATGAATATGGAAAGTGCCAATGTTCTCACGATATGAGTTCTGAATTCATTTGAACTCAAGTGTGTGCTTAGAATCTATTATTTATCCCCTACTTCAGCGGAACTGGGTATTGGAGTATGTAGTTGTTGTCCTTGATCTCATTCTTCTTCTATGCAGATGAAAACAGGATGTGTAGCTTTAGTTCTGTGTTTGAACATTAGTGTCGATCCACCAGATGTTATCAAGATATCTCCTTGTGCAAGAATGGAGTGCTGGATAGGTTCCACCTTGGGCCATCTCAATCCTATTACAACCATTTTTGCTTTTGTTTTTTCCTCTACTGCCCCTTATTCCACTTCCCCCTTGTGTTTTTGACGGCAGATCCATTTTCTGTTACCCCTCAAAAAGCAATTGAGACAATTGGCAAAAACTTGAGCTCTCAATATGAGAGATGGCAACCGAGGGTGAGAACCTTTTTCTTTTTTCTTGATTGTTATTCCGTGGAGTTCGCTTTCTTCATCTGTATCTGTAAATCTTGTCAGGCTCGTTATAAGGTTCAATCAGATCCTACTCTGGATGAAGTGAGGAAGCTTTGTTTGACTTGTCGTAAATATGCAAAGACAGAGAGAGTTTTGTTCCACTATAATGGGCATGGTGTGCCAAAACCTACTGCGAACGGTGAAATCTGGGTGTTTAACAAGGTTTGATTTTTTTAAGATTTCTTTCTGTTATCTTCCTGTTTGATTCCTGTTTGCTTTTGCTTGTTACAAAGTCCTGATTCACTTTCTGTTTGAGCAGAGTTATACTCAGTACATTCCTTTGCCAATCAGTGAGCTTGATTCTTGGTTAAAAACACCGTCAATCTATGTTTTTGACTGCTCTGCTGCTGGGATGATAGTCAATGCCTTTGCCGAGGTAAAATGATCGTCGCTTTTCTCATAACATATGGGCCTGTTGTGGAGTTTGGGGCTTGATTGTTTTAACGTTTTGTTTAGCCGTTTTATAAGATTATCAAATATCATTTTCTTATGTGGTAGCTTCATGAGTGGGGTTGTTCTGGCTCTTCTGTCTCCTCAAAGGACTGCATTCTACTTGCTGCTTGTGAAGCACATGAGACACTTCCTCAGAGCGTTGAATTTCCAGCTGATGTGTTTACTTCTTGCCTCACAACACCTATCAAAATGGCGTTAAGATGGTAAAGCCGCTTTCCATTCCTGATTTCTTTTGAATGTCTGTCCCAGGGTCACCTTTTTTAAAATTATCGGTGCATTCCAATTATAAAGGAAGTGTTAATTCTATCAGTCTTTATGGTAGTGTGTTTAGCATGATCCTTCTTCTTCCCAAGGATTAGATCAAAACATGGTGATTATATTATGTTATTTGTATGTTTTTAATTGGAATAGCATATGCTGAAGAAACTAGTGCATCAATCAAGTTATACAGAATCAAAGTTGACCGACATGTGGTTTGCCATGGATTTTTCAAGTCTTTGCATGTTCATGGTGCTAAGTAGTTCTGATGAAACAAGAAGGATCGTGATATTATTCTGATTAATAGCCTTTACTTCCTAACATCACTGGTTCTATTTTTCAACATTTTTTTTTGAGCTTTCGCCCTTGGTCCTGTCCTTCTGTAAGTTTACCGTCATATTTATTATATTTTATGTTGATTGCATTTGATTTAACTCCATTTGGAACTGTGCCGTTTTTGGCTTTCACAGTTTATAAGGCTGGATTTATTCTGCAGGTTCTGCAGGCGTTCTCTTTTGAAGGAAATCATCGATGAATCGATTATTGACAGAATTCCGGGTCATCAAAATGATCGTAAAACACTGCTAGGAGAGTTGAACTGGATTTTCACGGCAGTTACAGATACTATTGCTTGGAATGTTCTTCCCCATGGTATTTCGCGAAACTTTTTATAAATGCGTAAAGGTTTTACCTCTTTAATTCGAACTTTGCAGTCTTTCGCCATTACATCAGGAATGCTAGTTTTACGCTGCAGATCTTTTCCAGAGATTATTTAGACAGGACTTGTTGGTTGCTAGCCTTTTCCGGAACTTCATACTTGCGGAGAGGATTATGCGTTCTGCGAATTGTTCTCCAATATCTCACCCTATGCTGCCACCTACGCATCAACATCATATGTGGTACTGAACAAGATACCTGTTTTTGCAGTTAATTATAGTGCCTGCATGTATGTTTCCCTCAGCTAGTTGCTGCATGTTTGTCAGGGATGCATGGGATATGGCTGCTGAAATCTGCCTTTCTCAGCTTCCTAAATTAGTTCAGGACCCAAATGCAGAATTCCGGGTTTGTGTTCTCTATATAATATCTATTCAAGTGCGTAAGATTATGCTTGTTTTGTTGATAATACTTGTTTCTTGCCTTTTTTAGCCAAGCCCATTTTTTACTGAGCAACTGACAGCTTTTGAAGTGTGGCTTGACCATGGATCGAAACATAAGAAGCCACCAGAGCAGTTGCCTATTGTTCTTCAGGTGCAGTATGAGCTCTATATTTGGGGAGTTAGTTTTTTGTCAGTTTTTCATCTGTTACTATGAGTTCTCTTTTTCCTGTATTACAATTATTTTTTTTATGCTCTATAAAAAGAGACCCGCATTGATGTATGGTAATGAATGTTGGGCGGCGAAAGGACCACATATGTCCAAAATGAGCATGGCCGAGATGAAGATGTTGTGATGGATGTGCGGATACAAAAGGATAGAATAGAATTATGAATGAGACTATTAGAGAGAAAGTAGGTGTAATAGGTATAGATGAAAAGTTACGAGAGGGACGTTTAAGATGATTTGGACATGTACAATGTACGTCGATAGATGATCCGGTTAGAAAAGTGGAGAGCATAGGATGGGGTGAAAAGAAAAAGGAGGGGGTAGACATAGGCTTACTTGAGAACAAGTCATTAGAAATGACTTTGACGTTGGAATTGTTGCAAATTTCGAAAGAGTTGACTCAAAACCGTAATAAGTTGAAATGAAGAACTCATGCGGTTGACCCCAAATAAACTTGGGATTAAGGCGATGTTGTTGTTGTTGTATGCTCTGTAAAAGAGAGCATTATTGTTTTAATTCATTCAGTGATGTTTTTGTAATGACATGACCCGCAGAAAATTTATTGGCTCCATATGGTTATTCCGTCATATATGTATTTGCAAAGTAAAACTTGATATTTATGGAGTCTAATTATGTTTGTTTCAGGTCTTACTTAGTCAATGCCATCGGTTTCGTGCACTTGTGCTTCTCGGACGATTTCTTGATATGGGTCCTTGGGCTGTAGATCTGGTATACATCTATGTGTTGAACTCCTGCTTACTCCCTCAGGTTTTAGACACCCCATTCCTGGTTCTCTCGTGTATATCTGCTCACATCTGAGTGAATCTTCTTCCCCTAGGCCTTATCTGTCGGAATATTCCCTTATGTTCTGAAGCTTTTGCCAACAACTACAAATGAGCTGCGACAGATTCTTGTTTTCATATGGACGAAGATTCTTGCCCTCGACAAGGTAACATATTTGGTGTTTCGAATGCTATTGATTGGAACACACTGGCTGTTAGCAACACGTCTGCTGTTAGGTTCAACTTCAACTTTGCTGGTTTCTTTCATGCTAGCTTGTTGGGGCGGCTCTCCTTTTTTCATTTGGCCTCACTATACTGGCAAAATTATTGTGTAGTTCATGAAATTATCTCCAGATTAATGACAAATACCATGGATTTACCATTCGATATTATTGTTTGTGTATGGATCTTATTCACATACACCGAAACAGGTTGTTGATTATCGTCATAATACTTGCCTTCCACCATTTTTCCTTTTCCAGTTTCTTCTTTATATTATCTCCAACATTCTCAGCACCTATAACTGAGAGATGTCTCTTTGTTTCCAGTCATGTCAGGTTGACCTTGTGAAGGATGGAGGTCATGCGTATTTCATCAGATTTCTAGATAGCTCAGGTGCATTTCCAGAACAACGAGCTATGGCTGCATTTGTTTTGGCTGTCATTGTGGATGGCCACAGACGAGGCCAGGAGGCATGTCTTGAAGCAAATTTAATCGGTGTGTGTCTGGGGCACCTTGAAGCACCCCGGCCAAATGATCCACCACAAGAACCTTTGTTTCTACAATGGCTTTGTCTTTGTCTTGGAAAGTTGTGGGAAGATTTTACCGAGGCCCAGATGATGGGTCGGGATGCCAATGCTTTTGCTAGATTGGTTCCTCTGCTCTCTGAACCGCAACCAGAGGTGCAGCTTTACCTTGAGCTTACCTACCTTGTCCGATTTTCTGTAGTTTATCCTTTTTATAGCAGTCTAACTGCAAACAACATCATTCTTGTGCAGATTAGGGCTGCGACTGTGTTTGCCCTAGGTACCTTACTCGACATTGGATTTGACTCTGGTAAAAATGTTGGAGACGATGAATTTGATGACGATGAAAAGATTAGAGCTGAGGATACTATTATCAAAAGTCTCTTAATTGTAGTTTCTGATGGGAGCCCGCTTGTCAGGGCAGAGGTTGCTGTAGGTATGAAAAGAAAGTGTCTCTTAAGCATTCATGATATTGGTGTATATGTTATCTAACTTCAAAGAACAATGTGTGATATCTAGCTAAAATTTTCACGCTGTTGGTATATTGCTACCTTCTATTGTTTGATGCATTAGTGATCATGCTTGTTTTTCATGTTCTAAATTAATATAGATACAAAATTAAACTTGCTACAATGTTGATCAACTTATATATCATCTTTGAAGCAGTATAGTCTCTCGTCGAAAGAAATTGTACTAACATGGTTAAAGCTTCTAATTGTTTTCCTATTTTTATTTGCTTGAAACACTCATCTTATTTATTCTGCATATATTTGTGTTGAAGTTAAGCCTGCTTATTCACAAGTTTTCCTATGTATTATTTTTAAAAATTCTGTGTGGTCCTGTTTCTACAGCTCTTTCGCGCTTTGCTTTTGGCCACAAACAGCACCTAAAGTCAGTTGCAGCTTCATATTGGAAGCCTCAGTCAAGTTCTTTGCTGACTTCATTCCCTTCGTTGGCCAAGATTCATGATGCTGGGGGCGTAACAATTGTTTCTTCACACATGGGTCCTCTGACAAGAGCTAGTACTGAGAGCCAACCAGTACTTCGTGAGTCAAGGGTTTCATCAAGCAGTCCTCATGGTTCTTCTGGGCTCATACATGGATCTCCATTATCAGATGATTCTTCACAACATTCTGATTCCGGAATTATTCATGATGGTGTGAGCAATGGAGTTGTCCATCCACCTAGACAGTTGGATAATGCTGTTTATTCGCAGTGTGTCCTAGCTATGTTTACATTAGCAAAAGACCCATCTCCACGTATTGCGAGCCTTGGACGGCGTGTTTTGTCTATTATTGGGATTGAACAAGTTGTCGCAAAACCCTCAAGGCCCAGTGGCCGACCAGGTGAAGCTGCAACTACATCTCACACCCCTCTTCCTGGCCTAGCTCGTTCATCCTCATGGTTCGATATGCATTCAGGTAGCTGGTTGAGGGGGTCTTTTCAATCACCGTTTCATTCCAGCAGTTGCTTTCCGATGCCATTCATTGTTGATTGTTAGTGAGTATTGATGTTGAATTTTTATTGACAGGTCACCTGCCCTTAACGTTTAGGACTCCTCCTGTGAGTCCTCCTAGGGCAAGCTACTTAACAGGATTGAGGAGAGTTTGTTCACTAGAGTTCAGGCCGCATCTCTTGGGTTCTCCAGATTCAGGATTGGCTGATCCACTTTTAGGAACCAGTGGTTCTGAAAGAAGTTTGCTTCCACAGTCAACTGTTTATAACTGGAGTTGTGGTCACTTCTCTAAACCACTTCTTAGCGGAGCAGATGACAGTGAGCAGATAGTGGCCAGAAGAGAAGAGAAGGAAAAATTCGCGCTTGAGCATATTGCAAAATGCCAGCATTCTTGTAAAGCGTTTCTCCTTGTTTTTCTTTTTGCATTGTTTTCTTCTCTTGTAACTTAATGTGTATTCAAACCCTTTTTTCCCTTGTCCAGCAATTAGCAAGCTCAACAACAATCCAATAGCTAACTGGGATACGAAGTTTGAAACGGGAACTAAAACATCCCTCCTTCATCCGTTTTCTCCAATCGTAATTGCCGCAGATGAAAACGAACGGATCAGGTATGCAAGTTTCTTCAGACCTTAGCTAAACTTTGGATTTTGGTTAACCTCCATCAGAAGTTTCTTTCAGGTTGCCTTTATAAAACAAAAAAAAAATTGTTCCATATATTTTGAAACATTTGTAAAGATACACGTTGACTCTTTATTTGTTCGAAACCACTATTTGTTGGATTGGATCCCTCTATCTAGTATCATCATTTAGAAAATGCTTAGCTCCGAAGCTTTCTTTCAGTTGAGGTGGTTTTAGAATCTTCATGCAACACAACACCAACCCAGTTTGATATTCTTGCCACATCCTTTGTTACCTGAATGCTTCTACTGGACTGAACTTTTCACGGTCTTTCCTCTCAGGGTGTGGAATTACGAGGAAGCAACACTTCTCAATGGTTTTGACAATCATGATTTTCCTGAGAAAGGGATTTCAAAGCTGTGCCTTGTCAACGAGCTTGATGACTGTCTGCTGCTTGTTGCTTCATGTAATGCTTGAAGAGTCTTCTGATCATTGGGAATATCTTAGTTATGGCTGTTTAAATCCTTATATTTATGTCTTACATGTGCTTTCGAAATTGCATATAGGTGATGGAAGTATACGGATATGGAGAGATTACATGACAAAGGGTAAACAAAAGCTTGTTACTGCTTTTTCGTCCATCCAGGGTCACAAACCTAGCACACGTGGTTTGAACGCTGTTGTGGACTGGCAACAGCAATCTGGTTACCTGGTATGTACTTGCTTCAATCACAATATACAAGGTTTTCTCTTTGGTAACGAAACTGGTGATGTCCGTATGATGCATTACCTGGCCTCTGCAGTATTCTTCCGGGGAAATGTCATCTATTATGCTCTGGGACGTTGAGAAAGAACAGCTTGTCAATTCCATTCCCTCTTTCTCAGATTGTGGTGTCACTGCACTTGTAAGTTTACTTTCGATGGCTTCTATTTTCCTTGCAGAACTTTCTCCCTTCGTTTTCATATGCCACATTATGATCATATCTATTTATCTACTATCGCCTTCTGCCAATGGATTCGGTGATTGAGGGCGTGATAAATACATGGATTCCTGACATACTGTCTAGAGGATTTTTATGCAATGCGTTATCGGCTATTATATTTTTGGCTTGGAAAAGGATGTCTTCAATGCTTTTTGGTAATATTGAATGAAAGAGAATGTCATCCAGATAAATATTCATCCTTCGTCTGTCCCTAGGGACCAACTGGGATATTAAAGAAATATTCACTTGTTTTTGGACTATGCTTTGAACATGATCTTAGATTCTTAGGCATGGATGGGATTCTTCAATACAAAAACTATGCTTCAAACCTGTAAATCAGATGAAGAAATTGTCGATGCATCTTTCTCTTGTGTCATTCTGCTGGAGTGGTCGTTTTTGTGATTGGTAAAAGATGGAAAGTAGGATTTTGTATGATAGGTTAATTTTGTGTCTTGTAGTCGACTTCTCAAGTGCATGGGAGCCAACTCGCTGCTGGTTTTGCCGATGGATCTGTGAGACTTTATGATGTTCGGTCACCTGATATGTAAGTATAGCTTACAGAGTTTATTCAGTTTCTAGTGGGACAAAAGTAAAATCCTCATAGGTCCTTCCATATCAATCCCCAAATCACACAAGAACATCATAGAGACTAACAATGATAATTATGATTTATTCATATAACTTTTTTTTTTTAAACTTTTCTGTGATTCTCATCCATGTATGATGAGGCTCTTTGATGCGGTTATGATGAAGAGATAGGCATTTAGTTGAAGAGTGAAGCCGGCACTTGGTTCTCTTTTCTAATGTTGATAGATATGATATCTTTTTTTCTTTCTTTATGTAGGCTTGTCTGTTCTACGCGACCTCATCAGAGAGCCGAAAGAGTCGTCGGAATCAGCTTTCAACCTGGGCTCGACTCTGCAAAGGTTTGTAAAACAAGAACCCTGTCTTGTCACAAATTCCGCTCTTTAATTGACGTATAAGTGCAGTTCCTTACTCTGTTTTTTTTTTCTTCTCGTTTTCCAGATTGTGAGTGCATCACAGGCTGGGGACATCAGGTTTGTTGATATCAGAACAACGAAGGACACTTACCTAACGATTGATGCCCACAGGGGCTCACTCACGGCATTAGCTGTTCACAGACATGCCCCCATCGTTGCAAGTGGTTCTGCGAAACAGCTAATAAAGGTCTTCAGCCTCCAGGGTGAACAGCTTGGGATTATACGGTACTACCCTTCATTCATGGCCCAGAAAATCGGGTCAGTGAGTTGCCTCACGTTTCACCCATACCAGGTTCTGCTCACGGCTGGGGCTGCAGATCCATTTGTCTCCATATACGCTGACGACAATGCTCATTCAAGATAAGGTAAGTCAAGTGATAAAATTCTTGAGTGTGGTTCAAAGAGGCACATCTCAAGTGGTGTAGGATAGTAGAATAGGGAATTGGTTCGTGGGGGTTGGAAGCGAAACGGGGTCGAAAATCATGAGAAGGGACAGTGGGCGAAGGGAAGGGAAATTCTGTGATTTATCAAATATTCATCAGCCTCCGGTGGAGTTGAAAGGAGAGAGGTGTTACATCATCTTATGGGGGGCTTTGCCAAATATATAATTTCTACGCCGCGTAAATGATGGTTGGTGTATAGTTTTTTGTTTTGCTCTGTATTTTCCTCTTGTTATCGTTTTCTCTTGTGTGATCGCTATTGGTTTTCCTTTCTCTCTTCAGTGAATAGTGTGGTTTGGATTTTGTAAATGTATGTATGTATACTTTTTTTTGTCTTTGGGATGTAAATTTGTAAACTTTCAAAGAGAGTGGACAGTTTTACAATGCAGGTGTCCATCTCAAATCAGACGTTATGTATCAAAACCGGAGCCAATGGGCGGTTGGTGAATTATCAGACAGTATAAAAAGATTCGGACATGTCATAATGGAATTAGTACCAAGATTCAATGGGCTTTTAAGTTTAGGATCTCAGATGATGGGTTCTCTAGAGCCTTGGGCCGTTGAAAATGTCCAACAGAAAGCCCATTACAATAAGTTAGACGGACAAAAATATTATTATTATTTGTTTTTTTTTTATTGCTGGAACAAAATAGTCATGCGTGCCAAAGTGGTAATGTAAGCCCTAAACTCAGCATTGTGACTCATACTACTGCATCGTCTATAATGAGCAGCAGAGTAGACAAAACATAAACATTGTTCGTGACGTAGAGTTGCTTGCTGTCTTTCCTATTGGGCGAGAACTCCCTTTTCCGTCAGTGTGTTTTGACGTGGAATCTACAATCATCCACCTCCCCAGAAATTTTGAAAACATCCCTATATGTGTATAATTGTATTACGTGAATGGTTTTATTTGGCAATACCATATAAGACAAGAGGCACAAATTGATAGACTGTCTATCGCTTTGACTTCGGATCTATTCCGATAGGTCGTCATGGTTTGATCCACCTGCAGGTTGATTAGTTTTCTTTACAAGTCTTTCCTTCTTGCTTAATGTGGGTAACGTGGGACGCACTTTTTAAAAAAAAAATACAATATATATATATATATATGTCGTAATCTAAATGGCAAGCAACAAAGCAGGTAAGGAGGGAAGAAGGCTCTCCCAAAGAGTAAAAGGGCCACCGCTGCAGTCCATGACAGTGAGCCTTGTGTTGAAATACTCCCTCAGCTCGGTGACCATCCCATCTCTCAGCCTCCACACGTGCACCCAGTACACCTCTGAACCCTCCTCCCTCCCCTCTCCTATCACGCAGTCCACGTGCCCCTCTCACTTCTTCTACACTCCTTATCGTCCCGAACAAGTTCCTGAAGAAATACGTTTGAATTCGAGAGCGACAAGCACAATGCGGCTGAGGGGATACGCTATACGCAGCCGCGCCCAGGGATGACCCCAAAGCTCTGCTCGAAGGCTTCGCCATGCCTGGACTCGTCGGCTCGGTGACCTCGCCTAGTAAGTCTCCCTCTCCTTTTCTCATCATCTGGACTCTCTGAGAACGGAGTCTGGATCTCGATTATTCTGGTTCCAATTTCCCTGCTATCGATTTTGAATCCCCTTAGCTGCCTGATCCACCACCCGATTAGCGTCTTTCCTTCTCTGTTTCTTTTTCTTTTGCGTGCGGTGAACGTGGTTTTAGGTTTTGGTATTCCTTCGTGATGGTCTTATTATGAACGGTGATTTGAAATCAAAACTGGACCTCAATTGTGGAATTTATTGAACCTAACATTAGGTCAATCTTTGTCGCGATCGGGTTTGAGCCTTTGAGGTTTGGAATGCCAGCTTTATTGCCTTGTAGAATTGAATTCACTGATGTGACTTGTTCGAAAAGATCGTCTTACTAGTTGTACTCAAGGTTGTGAATTAGAAGCTGATCATGGGACCTTCCTGTGATGGTGAAAACTCCATTGCCAAAAGTTTGAGGGTTCTTTGGCAGATTTCAGGGATTCTGGACAACCGAGTCAATGTTTCCTTCACTCGCAGCTGGCGGAAACAATGGTTTTCTCCGTTCATACATGTGAAAATACACAAGATGGATCTGTTAAAATGATTCAGGCACCATTTTCACGAGTATCATCTCTTGCAGCTGGTGAAAGCCACAGCGTGCATGCAAGTGAAATTACTCTGCTGGCTGCATCAGCCAGAGATTGAGGGTCTGAAACTTCAGAAATCGAGCACTCTAAACCCCTGCGATGTCCATGTCACAAACAGCAAACATACAAGTGAAGTATGAGATTGGTCAGAAAGAGAGAGAAGGAGAAACTGAGATTCCGGACGCATTTAAGCCCTCACAAACTTGGCAAGATGGATAAGCTTTTGGGACACAAGTCTTCTATTTGCTCAGCGCGGCAGTTGTTGCAACTGATAGAAGCCGTCGAAATCTATGTGTTTCTATGGAGTCATCTCTTTTATTGAATGAATATGTGAATTGCAGATGAGGAAGGCATCTGGAGGCCAGCTAGACGGCGATGAAAGAAAAAGATTCATAATAGGGAGCAAGGTTAGTCTGTTTTTACAGATTTTCTAATGACAGTTTCTTTCACTGGAATTAGGACCGGGAGAGGAAGACTGCAAATATGCTGTTGTTGATATGAACAAAGGGCCCCGTAGGGAATTGTTATTGCCTTTGACTAGAGCGATACTATAGATATACCTACAATTACAAATGCTAATGATGGAAAAGGAGCCGGGCATCTTTTCCCCATGTCTTAGCACGACTTGTTTGTTCGTCCACATGGACATGGTTTTAATTCAATTGAACATATGAAGAAACGTGAGTCTCGTCTACTAAGCTGAGTAAAATCAAACAGAGTATTTATGGGAAACTTGAAAGATTAGGCCAGGAGGGAGGAATTAGGTTTACAAGCGTTGTGGGATTGACTTTTGATTGGTGAAGGGAGACGTTTTGCAGTCTTGCCTGGTTTACGTAGGCCCCTTTCTTCTGCCTTTTTTTTACCTGTATCGTTCTTGTGTGTTTTTTTTTTAAAAATTTATTTCGAAGCATTATGAATAATGAAAAATGGCTGATTATCATGTGGTGGAGATGTAAATTTTTTTGCTGTCAAGAAGTTGGTAGGTCTCACCAGAAAAAAGGTTCATTTGGCCCATGTATATGGAAATGTATCATGATTTAGTATAATAATAATAATGAAATGTAGGATTCCCGTCATTATCTGAGAGAGTCTTACTATAAGTACGGCCACACCTCGGGTTGGACATTGTCTTCCTTCTTTCTTTCCCGTCCATAAACAATATAATATTCCCAGTCGTAATCGAACAATTATATTATGTTCGGGTGCTCATATTTCTGGGAATAAGTTTTTATTTGACCTTTGCGGCACTTGCATTTCCGTTTGGATATGGATGGTACTGTCAGATGTATATATTTATTTGGTTAAAGATTTGGGGGCAAAGTGGAAAACGAAATGGTCAAAGCGCTCGTACAGTCCGCATTAGAATCTGTCCTTCCTCGCATGCTTACTCCACCACATATGACAACACCCGACGACCTAATTCCCAGATTACGACATCTACCTCCCTGACCCTTTTGCCCTTCCTTTTCTCCCCCGTCCTCCCCCCCCCGTACGGAACTAATTGTCATTACTGTTCCTCCGAAATTACACAAAAGCCCTCGTTCCCGATACATACTACAAGTTCTTTTTAATTGAAAAAAAAAATCAAAGGGAGAGGGTAATTTCGTGATTCAGCAGATCCATTTTCACTCTCCATGTCAATAACCGTTTGCCTTGTAAAATCCATCCATAGAAAGTGAAGAAACAAACAATCCCCACAAAATCTCTCTCCCTGCGGAAAGGGGAACTCTCCATGAAGAAGCAGAAGCAGATCCAACCCTCGAACCCTTTCGATCTCCTTTCCGAGGAACTCGTGTTCATAATCTTGGACCTCATCGCTCAGAACCCAACCGATGTCAAATCCTTCTCTCTATCCTGCAAGTGGTTCTACCATATCGAATCCAAGCACCGGAGAACCCTGAGTCCGCTCCGTTCGGAGTACCTCCCTCGGGTCCTCACACGGTACCCGAACACCTCCCACCTCGATCTCACCTTCTGCCCACGGGTCACAGACAACGCGCTTCGTACCATCGCCGACCTCTGCGGTCCGACGCTCCGGTCCCTGGACCTTTCGCGGTCGGGGGCCTTCTCGGCGGTGGGGCTGCTGAGCGTGGCCGTGAAATGCGTGAATCTGGTGGACATCGACCTCTCGAACGCGACGGAGATGAGGGACGCGGCCGCGGCGGTGGTGGCGGAGGCGAGGAACCTGGAGAGGCTGCGGCTGGGGAGGTGCAAGTTGCTGACGGACATGGGAATCGGGTGCATAGCCGTCGGCTGTCGGAAGTTGAGTTTGGTTAGCTTGAAATGGTGCGTTGGCGTTGGAGATTTGGGTGTTGGTTTACTCGCCGTGAAGTGCAAGGAAATTCGGAGCTTGGACCTCTCCTACTTGCCGGTAATTTTGGAAATTGAGTTCTGGTAACATGTTTTCCTTCCTGAATTTCCTGGAGAAATTTCGCCCAGGGTTACATTTGGATTCAAGTTGAACTACTTTTGCCAAAATTGGAGAGTTGGGTTTTCGTGTTTGATAATCCTACGGATAACTGCGTCATTTCCTGCCTCAAACATCAATTTCCCTGATATAGATTTCGTTTTCTTTGCAATCAAACATGTTGGAATCTGAATTTTTATAACGTGGGAATTCAACGTGTTTAATTATTATCCATGTCTTTCGTTGCTGAGAATTCAACTTCAACACTCAACATTCTAGTTTACTGGAGGGAGTCATTTTTCTTGCTGTTCTCTCGGAAAATGAAGGGATTAATTTCTGCAGATAACGGGCAAGTGCTTACATGATGTTCTGAAATTGCAACACCTTGAAGAGCTTCTTCTAGAAGGGTGCTTCGGGATAGACGATGATGGCCTTTCCTCACTCAGACATGAACTCAAGTCATTGAAGGTTACCTCTTCTCCAAGGAACTCGTTTGCTTAGCCTTTGTATACAATATCCATTTCATGACTCATTGTTTGTCCCTCATCGAACTCGAATAAACATGTTCAACTTCACATAACCTTACAGCTGAGCTTCAGAGAAAGCAAGCCACTTCCAGCTACCGTTTGTAATACTGGGCATAACTTCTCTGATTCATTAACTGGAAACTGTGTCTGTTTTGCAGAAGCTTGATGTGTCGAGCTGTCAGAATCTAACTCACAGGGGCTTAACCTCCCTACTGAGTGGGGCAAAATGTTTGCGGCAACTCGTGCTGGCACATGGTTCTTCTGTAAGTTCCTCATCTAATTATAATCTCCAAAAACTGATGGGGTCAGCATTGTTCTGTGCAAGGTGCAAACATTGATCAGCTGTTATGACAGTGGGTGGTCACATTCGTTGTCAAATTTCCAACACCGGTCTTTTGGATTCGTAGTGGTGTGGTTGATCACCGTCACCGTTAGTTGGAGGACCGATTTACCACAACCTTAACTGCATGCTGATTACTGACGGCAGGTGGCTGATATGAGTGTTCTTTGCTGATCCAGGTCATATCATCAGATTTTGCCAATTGCGTGGAGAAAATCTCAACATTGCAGTCAATCGCACTGAATGGTTGTTCCATTACTCCTGACGGGCTGCAGGCCATTGGCATTTCGTGCAATGCCCTGAAAGAGCTCAGCTTAAGCAAATGCCTAGGGGTGACGGACGAAGGTCTCTCTTCCATATTGATCAAACGGAAAGACCTAAGGAAACTTGACGTCACATGTTGCCGGAAACTGACTGGTGTTTCCATTGCCCAAATCGCAAATTCATGTCCCAGTCTCATCTCCCTGAAGATGGAGTCTTGTTCTCTTGTTCCTAGAGAAGCCTTCGTGTTGATTGGGCAAAAGTGTCGATTTCTGGAGGAGCTTGACTTGACAGATAACGAAATTGATGATGAAGGTTTTTCTCTTTCTCCTCACCTTTAAGAGATGAAAACTCTCGATTTGATCGAGACTTCACATGCTTTTACATGTTTCTTCAGGTGCTTAACATTGTTTGTTGTCTTCCGCACGGTGCAGGACTGAAGTCCATATCTAGTTGTCTTAATCTCTCGTCGTTGAAGGTTGGAATTTGTCTTAATATAACAGACAAGGGGCTCTCATACATTGGAATGGCCTGCTCAAACCTCTGTGAACTTGATCTTTACAGGTTCGTCGCTTTGATTCTCATAGATTTTTGTATCTTGATGCAGAACGGATTGAGAAACTTTTCTCTTTCCGGGCAGAATTTAGATTGTTGGATTTTTTGGCCATCTGCAGCGCTTCAAATAAAAAATGCTCTGATCCACACACCTGGTGTACCCTTTTTTCTCAGGAAAATATGAAATCTGATTAGTGTTTTCTTTGAATTATTTTCATTTTTTTTGTGCTCTTGTCATTCAGTCAAATGAGCTATCTCCGGGATTTTGTTCATATCCAAGTGGCTGGGTAATGAATGATATATATGGCAAAATGTTGTTTGGGTTTGGCATGATTTACAGGTCAGTGGGGATAACAGATGTAGGGGTTTCGTCAGTAGCCAGAGGCTGCTCCAAACTTGAGGCCATTAACATGTCATACTGCAGAGACGTGACAGACATGTCATTGGTAAGGCTGTCCAAGTGCCCGAGACTGAAAACGTTAGAGTGCAGAGGATGCCCTCTGGTGACGTCTCTAGGAATGGCTGCCATTGCCGTTGGCTGCAAGGGGCTGGCTAAGCTCGACCTGAAGAAGTGTCAGAACATCGACGATTCCACAATGATCACACTTTCCCACTTCTCCCACTGTCTCAAACAGGTAAGAAGACAATCCTTGTGTGCGTTTTTTGGTTCAGAGGTTGGGTTGAGTTTGAGAAGATGGGGTTGAATGACCAGATAAGCGTGTCGGAGACGGGAGTGACGGAGGTGGGGCTGATGTCGTTGGGGAACATAGGGTGCCTTGAGAACATAGCGGTGGTTCAGTCGGGCGGCTTTACCCCTGGCGGCCTGGCGGCTTCTCTGATGGCATTCCCAGCTCTTAGGAAACTCAAACTCCACTCGTCTTTCAAAGCCCTCCTCCCTCCCACCATCTTCCTTCACTTGGAAGCTCGCGGTTCTGTCTTTCTCTGGAAAGACCCATCTCCTCAGGTGCGGTACAGTCTTATTTATTCCCATCTGACGAAAAAAGGAGACCTTTTTAAATAAATTGTGAAGTGAATCTGGGATGTTTGTTGGGTAGGGAATGAAAATGATTGGAATTCAGATGTCATATATATATATATATATATATATATATATATATGACGGGGAGGAGAGTCATACTCTTATCTTAATGAGAAGGGTATTTTTTAAATTTAAAATAATAATAATAAAAAAGGGAATGATGATGCGACAGGCGGAGTTGGATCCAAAGTACTGGAAACTGCAGCTGGAAGAAGATTATTATGGGGAGCGATAGAGAGAAGGATGATCCCACAAATGATTGGGAGAGGCAGGCCATGTGTGTATATCTGTCACATATACATGGTTGGTTGGTTGGGTGTTTTTGGTCGTTCACTCGAATAAACAACTGTCCACGTGGCCCCCTCTCGTTTGGGTCCCACTAATATTTCACCCCTTTTCTATGGTTTCTTCTCTCGTGGCATTTGAATATGCTCTCGTTTTGGTTTTTAGTCTCATATTATAAAATGTTAAAAGCAACTGTGGATTCCACCACCACTAGATAGATGCTGTGTATTTACATGTAGAATTTTATACGTAAATAAAAATTTGACGCCAAGTAATCACACCATTTGGGAAACGAAATTAAAATTCGTCTCTCTCATACTCTTCAAGTGGATGAAGAAGCATCACTGCCCCACTTGATGCTATGGACCACAATCCACAAGCTGTTAGTTTTAGCCTTAAATTCCTTTTTTTTCAATTGTAATTTTCACAAAAAATCACGAGAATTTGTGGGGACAGGGAATGGAAGTGGAAGTGGTCCACCACGACCGTAAAAAGTAATAACGGCTAGTCCGGCGTTATACAAGCATTTTAGTATCACGCACATGAATTATATTTATTTTTTGGCACGGATTTAAACATTTATTATGTTAAAAATTAAATAATAATCGGAGTTTATTTTTTTTACAGTCGATTGTCGGCAATTAAACATACGCTTTTGTGGTTAACAAATTAAAAGGAGAAATAGTAAAGCCTTATATAACTCGGTTGTTTTTATTCTGTCTATACTCTTTTATATCAGGTGACAATAACATTATATGATTCCATTGTGTCCAATCCAACTCACACAAGCCTCGCCGACAAACCGTGAAATTAGTACGTTGCACCAACAAAAACCGACCAAGATATTCCAACCCAATGTCTCATGTCCTTTCACTCTGCCTAATCCAATCTTTCCAAACAAATCTTTTTAATCCTTTTTTTTTGCAATAAAATGAGGTGAGAGAATTAGATAAAAAGGAAACAACGCCATAACAATTAAAAATAATTAGTCCCATAAATGTTACTAATTGAAATACATTTCCATTGAAATATACGAACTCATTTCTGCTGTAGATTTGAATCGATAATCGATATATTTGCCTTCCAAAATCCAAGAATCCCCCATTTAATGACATTGGATCCACCAAAAATTACGCTTGAAATCTTTAAATTAATTAAAGTCTGAATAATTAATATAGGAATCGAATAGTTCGGGTAATGACGCGGAGACTCCAAATTACGATTTTACCCCAACTGATGCTGCTCAATCAATTAACAAGGCTCGAGCCTTTTTAATTATGGGGTCAGACAGAAAGTCAGCATGGCAATATCGAAATTAGCTAGAAAACTATGCCTAAATTTGTTGGCTCGTCCGCGTGGGGAGACCACACCACCGCGTTCGTTCCGCTTATCTTCTCGGTCTCTCTCTCTCTTTCTCTCACTGTCTCGTCACCTTTACTTTCTCACTCTAAATCCATGAGTCTCTCTCTCTCCTTTGCCACATAGCCGCCGGAGAATCCCTCGCCGCCCCATTTCTAATATCGGAGCTTCACAAATCATGCTCTCTTTCTCCAGTTTTTCCGCTAGAACCCTACCGATCTGCAACTTTTCATCTTCCCCTCGAACCCTAATCGGAGCTAATCACACCGCTGCTCGCTTTTGCTCCCGATAATCTCGTTCCACCTCCTCAGATTCAGGGTCTCTTTTTTGTGTTGAATTTGATCCAGTAAACACCAGCGGGCTATTCTTTCGTTTTTTTTTGTGATTTTTTTTGTAAAGGAGTTTTTTTACAGCGAAATATTATGGAGCCTCTCACGGGGAAGCCGAGCTTCTTGCGGAATATCATGGTGCGAGTTCTTCTCTTTGGCGTTCTGATAATCGTCGTTCGATTTGCTTATGTCGTCACTATCGCCGGAGAGTCATGCAATCGCGGCGACTTCTGCTTCTTCTCTCTCCCTGAGAATCTCAACTTTGTCATCGCCGGCGCCGGAGCCAGAGTTTCTGCTGTCGTCGGTAACGACGACGTCAGATCTACGCCTGTGGGGTCGGCACGCCATGAACTGTACACCAGCAAGGATTGGATAAAGGCCGTTCAGTTGTACTCCTCCATCTTTCAGGATCTGATTGCTGATGGTTACCTGTCTCCGGATTCGAAGTCGCTGTGTGTAGAGACAGCGATTGGGCAAGATGTTTTTGCCTTGAGAGAGATCGGAGTCAAGGATTCGATCGGGATTTCGAAGAAAGCATCGCGGCCGATGGTGATCAAAGGAGAGGGACACGCTATACCCTTCGAAGATAACACATTCGACTTTGTCTTCTCCGGTGGTGGTCGCCTTGAGAAGTCGCTGAAGCAGTTGGCTTTTGCGGAGGAGATCGTCCGGACCCTGAAACCCGAAGGGTTTGCGGTGGTTCACGTGGGGGCTACAGATACGTACAGTTTCAATTCTTTCCTTGATTTGTTTAATTCCTGCAAACTGGTGAAGGTGCGTGATATAGATGGTTTTGATTCATCGATGCCTCTTGTAAGAGAAATTGTTATTCGGAAACACGCTGAGATGGGTGGTCATCGCCGGGAGAATTCTGGCGGTGACTCAGATGGTGGTAATTGTTCGGTTGCGGGATACAAAAAGGATTTGATCCGAAATGCAGAGCCTCTTATCAGTGAGGAGCCTCTAAAGCCATGGATCACACTGAAGAAGAACATAAAGAACATAAAGTATCTGACTTCCATGGTAGATATAAGTTTCAAGAGTAGATATGTATATGTTGATGTCGGGGCGCGGAGTTACGGGTCAAGCATAGGAAGTTGGTTCAGGAAAGAGTATCCGAAGCAGAACAAGACGTTTGATGTTTTTGCAGTAGAAGCGGACAAGACTTTCCATGAGGAGTACAAGATGAAGAAAAAGGTTAAGCTGATACCATATGCAGCGTGGGTGAGGAATGAGACGTTGACATTCGAGATAAATCATGACCCAGGGAAGGAGGTGAAAGCGAGAGGGAGGGGAATGGGGAGAATCCAGCCTGTTCAGTCCTCATCTGGCAGCGATGACGGTTTCGACGGGGAGGTGGATTTGATAAAAGGGTTTGATTTCGCAGAGTGGTTGAAGAACACGGTGAGAGAGAGGGACTTCGTGGTGATGAAGATGGATGTGGAAGGGACTGAATTTGAGCTAATCCCGAGGTTGTTCGAGACTGGAGCAATATGTTTGATAGATGAGCTGTTCCTTGAGTGTCACTATAACAGGTGGCAGAGATGCTGTCCTGGTCAACGCAGCTCAAAATACGACAAGACCTATGATCAGTGCTTGGAGCTCTTCGCTTCTCTCAGACAAAGTGGTGTACTTGTTCACCAGTGGTGGTAATGCTTTGCCCTTTCTGCTAGTTTCTGATTTCCCTCAAGGAGCAGATATGAAAATGTTGTAGGATTTCTTTTATATACACATAAATACTTGCTCCGTGTTGAGACGAGATTCCATTTTCTGTGAACTGAGGATGTCAGTTGCATTCTCGAAGACTTGTTTCTTGCATGGTGGACATGAATGGCAGTGGTGTCTCTTCCCATGTTCTCTGCAGTGTGAAGTCTAATTGTATAAAACGCTTCTAATATAACTGTTGGTCATTTTCTGCTTGTGGATTGCCTTCGTGGGCTGTGTGCCGTAAACGAAGATATACACACCTCTGTATCACGTCTCGCAGTCCATAGCATTACAATTTCCATGAAGGGGTGGTTTCATGGTGAGAGCTTCTAGACATATCTTCCCAAATCTTTTTATGGTTTGGTCTGTCTGTCAACCATCCTGTTATAGCATCAATCATGGTTTTTCGGGGGTATTTTGGGCCTTGATGAAGTGGAAACACTCAGATTGTGAAAGAAAAGCCTTTTTTTTTTTTTTATATTCAAAATTTAGGAGATTACGTTTTACTCTGTTTTATTTATTTTTTTCAAATCTAAAACAAGCAAACAAACAAAAGCAAAAGGGAGATGATAAATGTATAAATAGGTAAAGAAACTGAGGAAAGTAGCAATAGTCAACCGTATTCTCTGTTGCATCCTCCTGAGATGATAGGACTGTTTTGAAAAGAAAATTCAGACAGGAACAGGAACAGGAGTTGTGAGGGAGAGAGAGGATGCTGGTTGCAAACCAGACGGAGATAGCGTGCATGAAATGGCTGGGATCAACGTCCGGCGGGGTATGGAGGGGGCAGGACCCCACAAAGTTATCGACGCCCCTTCTCCTTCTTCAGGTTTCTCTCGTCTCTTCCGTCTCTGCCTTGTTACAAGCCGTTATCCGGCCTCTTGGCCAGAACTTTGTCGCCCAGATGCTGGTATGCTCTTTTTTATTTTATTTTATTATTTCTATTTTCCACTCAAATATTAGCAAGACAAAGAGTTTTGATCGGAGGAAGGAACAGGCGGGGATTTTCCTAGGCCCATCAGTGCTGGGACGCAGCAAGAGATTCTCATCAAATATATTCAACAAACGGGGGATGTTTGTGATTGATAACCTGGAGACGATATGCTTCATGTTTATCTCATACATCATGACGGTTCAGGTTGATTTGGGGATGATGAAGAGAGGAGGCAGACTGGCAATCATCAACGGCTTCGTCCTCTGGGCCCTCCCTATCGCCGTTGCCTACTCCTCCGTCTTCCTCTTCCTGAAATCCACAGGCATTTCATCCGTTGCTAACATGAATCCGAGCCAACTGTACAACCTCGCCAGGACCAACGGTTCCTTGTATTTCCAAGTCTTTTACGAGGTTCTGTCCAATCTCAAGATGCTCAACTCTGAGCCCGGAAGGTTGGGTCTCTCCTCTGCCATGACCACCAACGGCTTCGGCTGGATTTTCTTCATGCTCTACCTTGCTTATAGACGCTCCTTTCGTCCCAGCGTTACCAAACCACCATTCTGGCCCACCTTCTCCATGGTATGTATATATATATATTAGATTTGATTTGAAAAACTTGGGTTTTTTTTTTACTGGGCTCATATTCATGTATGTATGTTTTTACAGTTACTACTGACACTGGGCATAATTGTTGTGTGCCGACCAATCTTGGAATGGATAGTGAAGAAAACACCTGAAGGACAGAAACTGAGGCCAACACATCTGTGCGTAATAGTTACCATGCTCTGCATTGTCACCTTCTTGGTCGACGCTGTTGGGCTTCCCTTCATGTTTGGGCCAATGTTATTGGGGCTGGTGACTCCGAACAAAGCGCCTCTCGGGGCAGGGCTCACCAGCAAGATGGACAGCTTTGTCTCGGTCTTGATGCCCTGTTACGTTATCGGGATTGGGCAGAAGATCGACTTCCACGCTTTCGGGTTGAAAGACTTTGTGATCTTGGAGATGCTGTTTCTGCTGATGCTGGCCGCCAAGTTTGCTTCTATAGTGGTGCCTTCCCTTTTCTTCCGAGTTCCTCTCTCTCACGCCACCATGCTCGGTTTGACTGTCTGCATCCAAGGGATTTATGACGTCCAACTCTACAAACTCTCCTTGAATTACAGGGTAAACCTCGCTCTTCTCACACTATGTTCCAAAATCGATCGGGCTCAGCGGGTGACACTTGGGGGGTTTTCATGTCTAACTGCAGGATATAACAGATGAAGGTTTTGGAATGATGGTGGTGGCAGCCATGTTCCACTCGACCATTTTGACCACCATTCTGAATAATCTATACAGCTCGACGCATAAACTCATAGCTTACAGAAGGCGTACGGTTCAGC